GCTGCGTGCAGCGAGAGCAGAGGGCACAGCGGTCAGACAGCATGGAGCGCCGTGGACACAGCACTGCGCAGCGCTGCTGCTCTGTGTACAAGGACTACGGGCACTGCCTCAGAGCCTGCTGAAGCAGATCGGTCATTCACCAAAGGAAGAAAAGTCTGAAAACTTACTTGACATTTTGAAAGGCAAACTTTCAGCCACCTGACATTATATTTGTGTTTCTGAAAGACAAAAGAACACCACGCCATTAAGCATTACGCCAGCCTGCGATGCTTCCACCACCCGTCCATTCATTACAATTACCAAAAGCTCGCCAGTTCCGAAAACAAAAGGCTTTCCGGAAACGAAGGCGCTCTCTGCCATAACAGCCGCGCTCCCCACGAGTTCAATTAAAGGGCCGCGGCACGAAACGCGCGGCTGTGCGGCGCTCACGTTCCGGACTTCGCGAACCGGCGCCCCGGGAGCCATTTCACGTCGCGCCGAGCGCCGCCCGCAGGGAGCCCTTCGGCAGCCCGGCCCCGCTTCCCGGCCCTTCTCCTCCAGGAACTCCGCGAAGTTCCACCGCCGCTCGGCGCCGCCCGCCAGCCGGGCCCCCGGCGCGGAGCTCCGCACGGAGCTGCAAACGCCGCCCCGCCCGCCAACCGCGAGGGCCGCGCCGCCCGGAGGAGGCCGCGAGCGGAGCCGCCGCGCGAGCAGCGCCCATCTGAGCCCCTTCGGTCCGGTGCAAAGGGCCGAGAGCCGCCCCGCGAGGGGCACCAAGAGCTCCCCACCCGCCCCGCGCCCCCACGCACTCACCGCTCCGCCGCCGCCGCGCTCCCTTTGTTCCTCCCCGGGCCGAGCCGGCGGCGAGCACCACGCCTGCGCGCACCGCTCCGCACTTTCGCCACGGCCGCCGCCCTGCTCCCGCCCGGGGGTGTCCGGATGACGGGGGGCTGGTCGGTCCGTCCTGCTCCCCTCGGAGACTCTGCCGGGTTGAGGGCTGCCCCGCGCACCGCTGAGAGGGGAAGGAGAGCGGAAGGTGTTGTGGCGAATCTGCGGGGAACGCTACCTCACCCCGCCGAGACCGGGATGGGGCGAGGGCGGGGCGCGGCGTTCCCGCGCTCCCGGGGCGGCGGGTGGGATTCTCTGCTCCGTGGCCGCAGCCTCGCGTGCCCTCAGCTAGCACAGCCAGGGCGCGGGGCGGCCGGGAGCCGTGCGCGAGCCGTGCACTTCCACGTTCCTTTCAGCACTTTCCACAGAGATGTGGCCACGTTCCCCGGTAGCGAATCTGCGGCGCAGGGCGGCGTCGCGCATGGTGCCTCGCGGCCATTGCGCGCCTTTTTCAGCTGAGGCGGCGGCGCCGCGCGTCCGGCCCGAGTGAATCCTGTAAAAAATCCCTTAAAAAATCCCATAACGGGGCGAAATAAGAGCTGTATGGGGAACCTAGAATAGCTCTACCCGACGTGGTGACAATGGCGGCTGCGCGAGGCGTGAAGTCAGGCCATCAACGGAAGGGCCGAATGACGGCGGTGCTGCAAAGCGCCCCGAGGCCGAGGCACGGCACTGCGTGCTCCGCTTGGATCGGTTACACCGCGGAGCTGTCAGTGAGAGGCTGCAGGTGAAATAAAGGTTGGGGACTGGAAAACTGTCCTGTGGCTGAAAAATAACGACCCCTGTGCCTGTAATGGGCGGCTGTGGTGGGCCTGGTGCACGAGGAGAAACAAAGCGTGACTGCCCTTGGAAAGGCGCCAGAAACAGCTCTTTTTAAACACAAACAAACAATGCCTGTATAACCCTGAAGGGTGATAGAAGGGGAGAAGAACAAACTGGCCGTAATGCCGAGGTGCTGCAGTTCTTGGTGCCTGCAGCCTGGCCTGCTTTGTTTTTGTTCTTAAGTAAGCACGCTTTCATGGACACATGAAGAGATGAGCTCTGCCCCCACTGCTCACAGTGTGCTAATGGAGATTTGTGGTATTACACAGAATAATCTGACTTGCATTTGACAACAGAAGGAATATGACAATTGAAAAGATCCTCCAACAGCCAAATCTGCAGCCTTTTGGTCCTCCAGCTTCACTTGGGCAGAACGTTTGTAAGGTAAAGATAAAATACTTACAGAAGTGAAAAATAACCCTGTTTTGTCTTGGATTTGACTCCGTGCATTCATTGCATTGCATTGTTCATGAAATTGTGTTCGATGTTGCATTAAATTTGCACAAGTTACTGGAATGTTCAATGCAGTTCCATGCTAATTCTGAATCATTGTACATGTTTCCAAGGTCAGCAATTCACTGTTTTCTTTGGTTTACTTGGTTTTACTTGGCTCTTCTTGTGCCCGTGCACACCCACCTATAGTTCACACTGACACCTGTGGAGGTTTGGGTAGTTTATGAGCCAACAAAGAAATTTGAAAAGAAATTTGAAAAGAGCAATTTTGCAGGTAACTTAAAAGATACTCCCTTGTATCGGTACTTTAGGGGAAGAAAATGAAGTTAAAAACAGGGTGCATATTTGAATCCGTTTGAGAGTAGCAGCAGTTCTTGATATGGTGGAGGAATTCCGTGTCAGGCAGTCCCATGTGGAGAAGCAGCCCTTTGATCAGGGAAGGGCGGGCTGCCTGCAGTGCTGTAGTAACAAAGCCAGCTATTACTGTGTGCTGCAGTGTTTTTTCCTATTAGCCTCAGGTTTCGTGGTCATAAAACAGTACAGCTGAGTTACTACAGCTGGTTTCCAGCTTTAATCAGAAGCTGTGTGTTTTAGGAGCTGTTGAGCTGAGTGTTACAGCTGTGTGGATGGAATACAGCTCTCACTGCAGGATAGCTCAGGATGTGTTTGTGCTGCTGCTGCTGTACTGAGACGGCTTCAGAAACAGCGAGGTCAGGTGTGTAGGTGATGAAATGTGCAGTTAAGGGCAGCAATTTTTCTGGTTGCTTAAGCTTCCCAAATGAGTGTGACTAATGCGCAATAATACCAATATTCTAAAATAATGTTTAGATAGTACTGCAAGATTAAGGCCGGGTCTGTGCTCTGTATTGTGCTGCTGAGATTTGTGTCACAAGGGAAGACATTTGGAGTTAGGCTGAGGAAGAGAAACCCCAAGAAACCCCCAAACTGGGGTCCAAGAGTGAGCCGGGCGCTTACTGGCCAAAGAAAAAATGTGTCTGTGGGTAAGGTTTTCCATTTTTGGTTACTGTGGAGCTGCCAGGGCTTTCTGTGTGTATGGTAATGGCGATGTGCCTGTGCAAGCTCTGCCTGCGTGAGAGGAGCTGTAAGGTTATGTGTTCAACCAAGTTTCTGTTACGTGTTTACTTGCTCTTTACCTTCGCCAGCCAGCTTATCTTTTAGATCATTGCTTTGTAAGCCAGATGCCATCATCTGCTGCTGGTATGGCACTCACACAGAGCTCTCGTCAGGTTGGCTGGAGTTAGCAGCAGCTTGTCTAGTAGGAGGACACGCAGCTCCCACGTGCTGGTAGAGGTCCTCGGGGAGTTGGAGTTATAGTGCAGGGAGCTTTGCAAAGTGCTCAGATGCAGTGCTGTGGATTTTCTTACCTACAGCTTTAGTTTGTGTTCTCTGCCACCCAGACCCCCCAAGACAGACACACTGAAGCTCACAAAGCAGCATGGGCAAACTCTGTTTTATTATTTTTATTGTTGTACTGCTATTTGCTTTGGTAAGTTTGTATCCCTGTTTAAAGTGCCTTAAAGCAATTAAAACTTAGTTTAAATTCAAGTATTGTGAAATATAGAGTACAGCACACAAAAAAGCTGCATAGTGAAAATGCCAGGAGAGGCTGTTACATTCAGGATGCCAACTCAGGTATTAACACCACCAGATCAGTTTTAAGGTTAATGATAATTAGCCAGCTTTGTACAGTAGATAGAGAACTGTGGGCAACGTAAACATGGCGTTCTTGCTGTTGATAAAAGGCAGAAGCGTAACTGAACGGCGGAGGACTTTGTGGTGCCAGTCCTGTGACATATGTGCCAGTCCTTGAGTCATATGGCACTCACTGACACTGCAGTCAGTTCTTTCCTGCTGCTTTGGATCCCGCAGATTCTGTCTGTGTGTTTTCTTGTTTTGAGCCGCCATAATTCCAGTGATCCCAGCAGGAGTTTCTGACCTCCTTAAATCCCTGTAAACAAACGTCCTTACCCTGTTTTGTTTGTTTGAAGTTTGTCCCGTGGTCTCATAAAGCATGTTGGGGTTCCATTTCTGGTTTCTGTCCGTGTGCAGATGCAGGACTGCCAGCTCTGCTTTGTATTGCCCATTGCTCTGCCTGCTGCCTCCAGGGGCACTTCATGTGCTGGCAGCTCTGACTCAGCACACGCAGCCCTTATTTTGTCCGTCCCACTGAAGCCATAGTGGCCGTGACCTGGCAGCTCAGTGATCTGCTGTGTGCTGGGTCGGGGGCCAGCTTTACCTACAGGATTTGTCAGGAGAGGAATCTGTTGAAGGTATTTAAATTCACGTTGCAACTACTCACAAAATGAATTAAATGTCGGTATTAAAAATGGATGCTTGACTCCTTAAATTTGATTCTCAATATGGCTGGGAGTCGTTTTGCAGATGCACAAGTAGAGCTAAGAGAGTGATTGATTTTCAGTGGGAATCCCTGCTTCAAAAGCAGCAGAACCATACAGCTCAGTGTTATTTGTTTGTAATGGCACTGCTGAGAAATGTGTCCATGGTCATAGGGGAGAGACATTTTTGCTCAGTTGCTGCCTAAAAAATGCTTAAAAATACTATTCACTTTTGAAAGAAAGTTGTTGGTTAATACCTGGTGTGTTTTAAGAGCGTTGTTGCATGTCACTTTTTTTTTTCTATTAGAAAGTGTTTTAAAATATCTATCAAGTATGACAATTATGATGGGAATGGTTCGTCAGCCAATATGCATATGCAGTATTGAAGAAGAGAATGAAATATGTGGTTCTCATTCCCGGAGTTCTCTTGCCGAGGTACAAAGTTACAGTTTAATTCTTTTAATGTTTGGAGAAGTACTACAAAACAACAGCGATGAGAGAACTGCGGCCTGCGCCCGGAGCAGGAAGCCGGAGGCAGTCAGGCTTTGTGGGATCTGCCTCTCCTCTCTTCTCCCCGCCGCTGTGTGTCGTGCGCAGGGCCGTATGGCGGCGGGGGCTCCGGCCTGCTGTGCCCAGCGCTAGGGTGTGATGGAGGGAATGCTGCACGAGCGCCTCATCACCAGCCTGACCTCGATGGCAGGCAGGGCTTTCTGCTGGCTGGGTTTGCGCCCTTCCTCGGCCGCTGCCAGGTGCAGGTCAAAGCGCAGCGAAACGGATTTCTTCCTCAAGCGCGGGTTGTCCTTGAAGAAAGAGCCTTCCCACTGCTTAATGACTTCGTCCACTTTTTCTGTCCTGAAACAGTAAAGCACAGGTGTTTTGGCCTTGTACGTGCTGTGCAACACGTAACTTCGGGACTGCTTTTAAAATGTTTCACTGAGTAACCAGAGTTCTTATTTATTTATTTGCTTATTGAAATTTGAACAGCTTCCTTCTGGAAGCCAAGTCCAGGGGACATTTCAGTGTGGTTTTGTTTGTACGCTTTTAAGTAGACTTGGATACAAAACCATTGCTCTGAACACAGATAGTTTGTTTCCAAGGAGAAAGAATAAAACATTCCAGCCCTCAGATGCCCCCTGAGCAGCCAGGCTCTCCTTCCCTCTGTAGTAATCAGCAGAACAGAGGGGTTTCCCAATAGAGCCAGGCCTGAATTTATGTGTGTAAAAACGCCCCAGAGGGACTTTGCAGACACGGCATGGGCTCGTTTACTTTCAGCTTTAACTAAATGTATTAATAGTTTCATTCTTGACAGAAATTGCAGTTAGAAGCAGCGTCATGATATTGCTAGCTCAGGAAGTAAATGCTAATAAAGAGATGTTTAATTTTTAATTTATTGTTAAAACACACCATTCAATAGAACTTGAACTACCAGTGCTACTCTGGAGCTTCCCAGCTGTGTGGATACTAAAGGGAGGAAAAATCAGAGAGCAAATTGTAATGCCCAAGATTCACATTTAAATATTTTCTTAAATTGATGCTTATCTTACTTTATAGTGCCATGAGCTTCAGCACTTTGCTTCATAATATTTCCTTCTAGGACTGCTTGTTTCGTCATCAACTCCATCTTGTCACTTTCGTGCTTCTTTACTCCATCTATAAAAGAAAATGCAGATGTGCCATGCAGGTGGATGGGGGGTGGCAGCAGCCCAGCTCTGAAGCTCTGTGGAGGCCGTGAGCCCAGGGGGCGGCGAGCACCGACCTGCAGGCAGCGTGAGGGCGGTCGTGGTGGGGCTGGGCTTCCTGCCCTTCTGCTCGGGTATGGAGCAGCCGTACCTGCAAGAATAAACAGCTTCACCAGCACCTCATAGCACTGAATTACTTTAATCCATCACTTGTTTCACAAGCTGTGGGCAATTTAAAAATAGGAGGAGTATGAGAAGTTCTGTTTGACTGTAGTAACCATTAGGATTTCTTGTTCTGAATGTAAAACTAAAGAAAGTGAAAATGTCTGTTTAATTTTGTCAGCAATTTGAACAGGTTATAGTGTGTTGGTTGTGTGCCAGGTAGAGATATTTATTTTTATTAATACTGTGTTGAGTGTATTTTCACAGAGTTAGAAGCACCAAATCTGAGTCCCTTGTGTGGAATCTTCTTATTCAAATGTGTGAGGCTGCTGGACGAAGGCCCTGCATCATCTGAGGGAGGCAGTGATCTGCTGAGAGCTCTCTGAGCCCTGTTTTGTTTGGGTACCAGTGGAAGCGATGCTGTGCATTTCCTTATCCTCTGTTGCTGACAGAGCTGTAGCTGCCTCTCGCAGATCTGCACGTGAAAGTGCTGGTGTTCAGTGTGCTGGGGAGGGCAGACAAGGAGCAGCTAAAGCAGAGTGTCACTGCCAGACACTGTTAGACAGCGTGCTGATGTGCAGAGCCCCAGATGTGTGACTGACACTTGTTTCAGGTGGTGCTGAGTGATACGAGCCTCGTGCAAAGGGATCCTTCGTGTGATCCCACGGGAGCAGCCACACAGACCTGCACTGACAGCAGTGCCTCCAGTGAGCGTGCAGGCAGCTCGTTATTACCTGCAGTGCACTGAGAGAAGTCTGACGTCCATAAGTGTGGAACTGGTAAAGCTGAGCACAATGAAAACGCCTGTAAGGATTTTATAATACCACATTTTACTGAGTGGCTCTTGTATTTACAATGCGACGGTTATTGCACTGGGGCGTTCTGAAGAGCAAGACAACGTGAGTTCAGCCAGCAGTACCTGTTCTCCTCCTGCTCCAGCAGGCTGCGGTACGTTGCAATCTCCTCCTCCAGCTTCATCCTCGTGTTCAGGAGAATTTCGTGCTCTCGCAGCTGCTTCTCGATGCCTCTCCTCACTTCCTGCAGGTCCTTCTCCAAGCATTCAATCTCCGCCTCTAAGTTCTGTAGCTGCATGTGGTACTGCTGCTCCGTGGCACGCAGCGAGCGCTCCAAACCCTTTTCCTGTTGAATTTAACTCTTGTAAGATTTGGAAAGTGTCCGCGAAGATGCTGTACATACTTGTCATTAACAGTCAGACTGTTTTTATGTCGAGTCCTCTAAGAATATTACTAAGAACAACAGTACAATAGTTTTTAAGGTAAACTTTTTTAAGGCTGAGATATTTTCCAGTAAAACCTGTAATCATTTAAGAGAGGATAAAAGCACGCAGCCCTGGGTTATTTTCTCCAGAGCCGGCGGCTGCTCTGCGGCGCTTACCACAGCGTGCAGGGATTCGATCTCGCTCTGCATGTGGTGCCACTGCCGCCGGGCCTCGCTCAGCTCTGCTCTGGCCGCCTGCAACGCTTCTGCATCTTTGTCCATTCTTTTCACTGCAGCTGCTTCTTGCTGCAGGGGATAAAGAAACAGATGACATAAAAATATTTATATAAAAATAAACTAAGCAGGCACACAAAGATCTCTTGTTAGGATTTTTTTTAGATTCCCATAGATTTGTTAGAGCTAGCAGTGGTGAGTTAACATTCTGTGTGCTGTGTAATGAGGAAGCTATCCTGCTGTGCATGGGGAGTCGTTGGCTGTCTGCAGCCCCAACATTTCTTGTTGAGGAATTCCAGTGCAACCCAAATGGTTGTATTTAGCCCACATCCAACTCCTGAGCACACAGGCTTGGCTTCTTGCAGGCAGGGGAACTGCAGTGGAAATGGTCTTTAGTTGTAATGTATTTTTAAAATTTGTTACTAGGGACAGCTTTATAGAAAGGGATGCATGAATATGTTACAGTTGATAATAGCTCTCATTATGTTCCTGCCTGAGCAGATTGCTATTTGAGGGCAAGCACCTCCATGCATTACCTGAATAGCAACTCTGTCCAAGCCTACAACTTCTTGTTCTTTAAGAACAGGTTAATTAATTTGCACAGAATGGGAAGGGAAGGTTGGCGTGCTGTGTGCTGACAGCCATGTGCACTGTAGCCGTTCGTCTGCGCAGCTCACGATGGAAAGGAACTCTTTAAGGTCAGGTTTACAAACGTTTCCCCCACCCTCCAGTATTCTAACCTATGGTAATGACCACCATCACACCACCATTTTGGTGAAACCCTGCAGTTGGCTGTTCTGGAAGGGCTCGCTCAGTGCTCCCTGCTGGTCCCTGCAGAGTTGCTGTCACACAGCTGTCGTGGCTCTGCTGGGCTGCTTTGCGCCACGCTCAGCTGCGGGCCTGGCCTGGCCTGGGGCTCCAGCAGGCGCTGCAGCAGCACTGTGAGCAGTGCTTCAACACAGCTCCCAATGCCTGCAGTCCCTCTTCTGCAGCACGACTGGGTGACAGCGTGTCTGATTTGCAGATTGAGTCTCTTGGCATTTGATGTCAGTCACTTGGTTTGCTGTTTTATTTCAAGGCTTTTAGGTTTTAGAGATGTTTTGTATGTAAACCTAAACCAGCAGCACTGCCCGTTGATAACCTGTCACGAAGCTGTATGGAAGAACAAATTATATTTACTGAAAAGTATGGCAGTTTTACTGTGAGCATTAGGAAAGAGGCCCTGAAAAGGCACGGGTTTCTTTAATAGAGATGCTAAAAGCTGGAAGGCTTTCTTCAAATAAATGGCTCCTTTACCTCGCCTCCGATATTCGAGATTCTCTCCTGCTGTGTGGAAACAGAGTGCAGCTCGTGTGGCTGTGCAGCCAGCAGCGCGCTGTGCAGGTACAGAGCAGGGCTGCACGGCTCTCCGTTAGCGCGCATTTAGGCCGTAAACAAAACCTTTTCTTTCTCTTCCAGTCCAAATCTTACTGCAGTAAAACCAAAATCCCGTCCCCCGTAATATGCTGCATGGAAAAGACAATGCCGAACCTCACAGAGGCTGAGGGAGGAGCTGCACGGACAAGGGCTGCCTCCTCCTCTGGAAGGTGTCTGCATGAAGTCATTACCTGGGTCCTCGCTGAGGCGGCGCTCCTTATCTGATGCCTGGTGTCGGCCGTTTCATACTTTGCCCCGCTGCCCCCGAGCAGCCGGGCCGCTTCCATCCCCCTCCCATGCTCCCGTTTGGTGCCCGGCCTCGCTGGGGGTGGGGGGGCTCTGCAGAGCCTGCGGCGGGAGGAGGCAGAGCAGCGGCGGCTCTTAAAGCCGCAGAGCTCCGTTCTGGGCGGCGGAGCGACGTCCGTCCTGCAGGTGTCTGCTATCGCGGCGCCTGGTGCTTCGGCGCGGCTGGAATCAGGATGCCCAGCTTGTGTGTGGAAGCGAACGCGTGCAGTGTCTTCGTGTTTCTGTTACGCTTTAAGTTAGGGTTTTTTATAACCTCAAAGTGCGTGAGGTTAGGAGATACAAGGCTTACTTTCCCCATTGCTACATGGAGGGCGGGAAGTGAAGGCAGTCTGTCCTGCTTTCTACAAAACTTTCTGTTCCCTGGCCTGTTTTAACTGCTGAGTAGTTACAGCCTCAGTGATCGTGTATGGTAAGAACTTCCCTTAACTTTTTGAAGTTTTTTCAGCAGTGTGCAGTGTGGGATATTTAGTAAAAATTCTGATTCCACTAAGAAAATGAACCCACAAAGCGATGTGTTTTGGACTGCAGCATACATCAGTAAAACGAGGGGAAAGAGGCAGTAATCTTACAAGATGCTCCTTTGAAGAAGTCAAAGCCTTGTTCCACTTCAAAGTCTCCTTGTGTGCACAAGGCTTCCTTGTTCCTGACTGTCTGCTGGCACATGTGAAAGGATCCCATGTAGTGCTTGGATTTCTGTGAGCTGGTTGTTCTCCAGCTGACCTGGGCAGGAATGAGAATGTTTTGTTCTCCACTGTTTTTTCGGCAGCTGTCGTAAACATTCTACTTTTACTTAGTTCTAAAAACAATTATTGTCAGTTTTTTCGTTGATCCACGTCCGTGAAACAAACATAAGATTTTTTTAGCTTAGGAGAGTATGAACAAGAAAGGAGGAAGCCATGTGTCCAAGCAAATATTGCATAATTTTTTTTTAACTTTTCATCACAGTAGCGGTGCTTTGCAGCTGCCCTGCAGTTCCCTGGGGCTCAGAACGTCTTCTGCTTCCACCAGGCAGTCAGGGCTGCTGCTCAGAAATGTTTCTGTTTGAAGTGCGGTGCAGAGGTCTGGGTGTTGGACTTGGTCCCAACAAACCAAATGTTGTGCATCAAAAGGGGCCAAGAGCTGAAATGTTGATCTATTTCTGAAAACTTTGTTTTTCCTTCCCTTTTTCCAAGCGTAAGGGGGCCATCTGGCTCTGACGTTGCTGCAACTCTAAGGTAGGTTTAAGCTACCTTATTTTCACTAGCTTTTGTGTCATGTTGGATCCTAGCAACTTTCAGTTCTCATATTTTATTGCAGATGTTGGATTTTTGTCATCTAAATACCAGTTGTCAATTCTTTGGATTCTGTGCTAATGTCACTGTGGTTGCAGGCTCCTTTGGTTCGCCATTGGTGACAGAACAGACCATAAATTGAGTGGTTTCTAGTAATCATAAGTGATTCTACTTTATCTTTTAGATCAGTATTAAATTCAGGATTAATATGCATGTAGGTAAAGTAGAAATCTGCAATAGTGCAAAAATGTCTGAAATCTAAAAATTTCTGAATTCCCAATGATTATTGACAGCAATCACAGCTGCATTCCTTGACACGATGTATTACTTTGTATTTCTTCTTGTAGGCTGTGTGGAAAACGTAATCTTGGAAGAGGAATGTGGAAGAAACACACTTTTCTCTTCACAATGGAGATGCTGTCTGTCACATGCTCCTGATTTTTACCTCTTCATACTGACATGTGTATAACAATCTTCTAATTAATTTCTCTCTGGCATTTATCACTGTGACTTTTATGTAGTGGTTGGCTTTCAGACACGGTGGTTTTGCCGTACTGATTTCATCCTCTGATTGTTTTTATTACCCTGGCTTTTGCTCGTTCCAAGCGGGAAGCGAAGCAGTGCTCATCGTTGGGTTTGCAGAGAGCGAAACAGAAGCACAGCATGAAATCTGTGCTGCCATCAGAATTTGAGTTTGGGTCCAATGTTGAAGGGACGTGATGGAACGTGCAGAACGTTTGTATTCTGGAGGCACCATGGATGCTTACAGGAGGTCGCAGTGTGTTCTCTTATCTGCGAATCACACAGAAATGGCCAACATTTGGACTCGCGCACAAAGATGGAGGTGCAGGTTGGGGGGTTGTGGACCGGCTCTTCGTTTTGTTCGGAACGGCGGATGTTGAGCAGCTCGCCGCCGGGCGGCCGGCAGTCAGACCGAGGGCTCAGAACGGACAACGGTGCGTCCAGCAGGCGGCGCTCCGGAGCGCCTCTCCGGTTTGTGCCGCGCTTGGAAATCGGTGAAGCCGCTCCGCTTCCCTGCGGCGGCAGCCGCTGCACCGCTGGCAGAAACTTCTCTCTTCGTCCTCTACATGGCTGCAAGTTGATAGCTTGCTTTATTTATTATTTATTATTTATTTATTTTTATCCACTATTCCTTTAATCCCAAGTTTAAGCAGTTTTTAAAAATTATTTTCATGTTCTAACATTGGATTAATGCCTCTATGTGAGGAGCGCAATACTGTGGATATTACATATGGTGAAGCAAAATGCTGAACAGAATGGAATATGTGGCTCAGGAGTCCTTGGTGGTGACGCAAAGAATGAAAGGAGATTAATATCTTAAAGCTTGCTGAGTCCTTTTATTAGTCAAGAAATTTGGAAAACTTGGTTAAAACAGCAAAAATGTATTATCTATTAATTCTATTAACTCAGAAATATAGAAAGCATATTTGATTGGATGTGTGCACAATGTTTCTAGTAACTGAACAAAGAATTGATGATAGACTTAAAGAACACCATGAAAATAATGCAGCTAATACCAATGGACTGAAGTGGAAACTGTATTGCATGGGTGCTAAGAATGAAAAAGTATGTTCTGCTTCTATCAGAGAATCTTAGCAAAAAGCCAATCTATTTTTTTTTTTTACTCCATTCACAAGAACAAACTTGTTTATACTCCTGCTTGGAAAGAAACATGGAAAGAATGGATCTTTGCGACCTCAGGTTGTGCCTCATATCTTCTCTTCAACTTCCTTCACGTGCGATGCAACAACTTTTCCATCCACCACTTCCTCAACGATGGTCTTGATCTTCCTGGTTTTGGTGGGATCTGAGCATCACAAAGGACACAAAGCAAATATTGAGCCAGTTGTTACCACAGCTCACATGGACAGCTGCGTGGAAATTAGTTACTTGTTCCAAAGAACTATGATGTAATTAAACAGAATGGCATGCATTATTTTACTTTAAAACTTTGGAAATAATTCTGAATGGGTACTTAATGGTTCTGTATCTGGTAGTTCTGCTGGTTATGCCAAACAACGTTATTTGCCTGAATTTCAGTGTTCAAGGGCTATTACAGCAAAGCTTTATTCGGTTGAGTTCTGCCTACCCTGAGAAGAATCCAGTGACTGCGTTTGTGACTTCGGCGCCGTCAAAGATGAGCTTTCAAATACAACTCCCTGCCCGCCACCCCTGAAAATGAAGCAGAGACACGCAGTGCTGCAGTGTTTGTCACGCTCAGGAGAGTTTGTGTTATTTCCTCTTCAGGTTGGCATTCATAGGTTAATTAAATACTGTGCAGAACTCATGATGTCTGTGAAGAAGAGCCAGTTTTCAGAATCTGCCCATCTGCCTTACTTGTCTTTTGGTGAGCGCAGCGCTTGTTTTTGACTCTTCCTGGAGAGGATACTGTTACTGAAAATAAAACAAAGATTTTGGATGCTTTCCTTACACAAACTCGCCGTCCAGCAGGCGGCGGTAGGTTTCGATCTCCATTTCCAGGCGAGACTTGATGTCGAGAAGCTGCTGATACTCCGCGCCCTGGCGCTCCATGTCAGCCCTGACCTGCAGCAGCTGAGACTCCAGGTTCCCAATCTGAAGCTGCATTTGTGAAAGCTGAGCGCAGTAACCTCCTTCTGTTTCTGCTAACGTGTCTTCAAGGGATTTTTTCTGTGTAGGAAAGACACTGAATAATAGCTGACTGAGGAAGAAGGATTCCTTACAAATACAAAACAACAGAATCAGTTTGATGGCAGTAAGTGTAGCCTCACTGTTCAGAGGTATTTGTTTTTTTCTTGAAATCCTGGTTTGTTAATTAGCTTTTGGTAGTTCACTGAATGTGGACATGAAAGTTCACTTGCTTTATAACATGTTGCTCCCAATCCAGTTGTGTACATATGACTGCTATTTAAGAACTAAAAGAATGCAGGATTTAATAGGAAATACATGCAAACCTTTGATCCTGTGGAAAAGTATAAGATCTAAAAAGAGCTGGTAAGTTGGAGAAGGTTCTCTGTCTAATTAGCAGTTTCCACATACCATGGCAAGCTGAGATTGTAGCTCAATTTCCAAGTTCTGAAGAGTCCGTTTCAGGTCGGTGATCTCGCTTTTCCCTGACTGAAGCTGCTCGGTGTTGGTGGAGATCTCCCTTTTCAGCTCCCCACTCTGAAATGGCAAAGAGGAAGAGTAACTCCTCTGTTCTGGGCACTCACGGTTACACGCGTTGGGCCGAATTTTCCGTCAGTGAGGTTGTTACTTTTTCATTGAACCACGCTTCAGCCTCTTTTCGGTTTTGCTCAGCAATGACTTCGTACTGCCCCCTCATGTCGTTCAGAAGCTTGGTGAGGTCAATTCCTGGGGCTGCATCCATTTCAACGCTGACTTGGCCAACTGCGCTGCTCTGGAGACCCTGGAGCTCCTGGAAAGATTTGAAGTAAAAATTATCTTAATAAAAGGCAAAATACTTCTACCAGCAACGTATGCAAAGAAATGTGTGCGACACAAATTCTTTTTCCATGGGAACCCTTCCTAACTACAACCTGCCTCTTCTTTGAAGAATATGAAATATCAAAATATGACACAGATCCTGCCTGTCATTTCCATTTGTCTCATGGATTTGATATTTAACTTTCTGATTCATTGCGTATCTCCTGAGCAAGCTCAGAAAAGAACAGCGAGCAAATGAAATACTGACATGAAACCAAGGATCTGCCACGTGTGTAACTGAGGGAATAATTGGATGTTTCGCACTTCCATCTGCCGTTTTATGAATATATAAAGAAAAAACATATACCTCTTCGTGATTCTTCTTGAGATAAGCCAGTTCTTCATTCAGGCTTTCAATCTGCATCTCCAAATCGGCTCTTGTCAAGGTCAGCTCATCCAGAACTCTGCGCAGACCGTTGATGTCAGCCTCCACACTCTGGCGAAGAGCCACTTCATTCTCATATCTGAAAAATAAGTAATTAAATATGCCTTTAATGTGGATAATGTGGCCAAATGCACACTGTTACTCTACTCCTACAGCTTTTGCTATGAAATCTTAATGCACAAAATTCTCATAGTATTTCTGTTAACTTATTCTTCAGTGAAAGAGATTTGTGAGTACTAAGAACGTTTCCCCCCGAGTACCAGGGGGAGGTTTTGCAGTACTGAGAGATACTTACTTCAGTCTGAAGTCATCAGCAGCCAGCCTGGCATTGTCAATCTGCAGGATGATTCTCGCATTGTCGATAGTCGCATTGATGATCTGGAACACAAGCACCGACCAGAGAATGATTTCACAGCCCAAGGGCTTTGCAGCTCAGCACAGCTTCTTGCACAGCTCTTATTCTAAGTGTGACAAAAGTAACTTCTCAGACCATTGCATAAATAACTACAAACGTATATAGGACAGATTTCCAGCCTCTGCAAATTGTCTTGTTTCACTTAGTGGAAGAATGCTAGTTTGCCCTGTATAGTTTAGAATCTCTGAAGGATTTGCCAGGGAGTCTGTCTAATTTATGAATTGAATTTGTGATTTTAAAAATACAAAGCTTTCTAAAATGTGAACATTTGAACAAGAGTTTGCACAGCTGGACTCCACTGCTTGCTTCCTTATTCACATTAAACCAAGTCACTTCACAGCATTGTGTGACAGAGCTACAGAACCAAAATTAATCATACATGGAAAGTTCCACACATGATTGCAGTGCAGGATGATTGCACGCATCCATCGGTAGCTTTGCTCTTGGTTTCTGAAAGGAAATTGTTATTTTTTTCCAAATGTGCTGCAATGAATTGCAAACGCAGAGATGCATTGAGTACGTAGCTTTGCTACCTTGTTTCGAAGATCTTCAATTATTGGGTAATATTTACTGTAGTCGTTCCCAGATCCCGGAACAGCAGCTCCAGGCCCATTTTTCTCATACCACTCTCGGATTTTACGTTCCAGCTCCGTATTGGCATCCTCCAGGGATCGCACTTTGTCCAGATAAGCGGCCAGGCGGTCATTGAGGTTCTGCATCGTTTCTTTTTTAGAACCAGAAAGAAGGCCGCCATCCCCACCACCACCGACGCCAAATCCACCTCCAAAACCAGCAGCTGCGCCGCTGCCAAAGCCGCCTCCAAAAACGGCGCCTGAACCGCTTCCAAAACCGCTTCCTAAACCCCCACCAAAGCCACTGCCTGAGCCGCTTCCATAGCCGCCTCCTGAGCCGCTAACGAAGCCTCCGCCAAAGCCGCTGCCTGCGCTGCTCCCGAAGCCCCCGCCGAAGCCAGAGCCGAGCAAGGAAGCAGCACCGAACCCTCCGGCGGATCCAGCGCCAAACCCGAGGCCGCTGCCGCCAAAGCCGCCTCCAGTGCTGCTGCCAGCCATCCGCAGAGAGCCCCCGCCAAGGCCGCTCCGAGAGGAGAACTGCCGGGATCCCACAGTGCTGCGCACAGACAGGGCCATGGTGCTGCGCAGGGCTGGGCTGCTCGGCCAGGCAGGGTGCGGAGCGGGGCAGATCGGGAACGCGGTCCCTTTTTATAGGGGCTGTCGTGGTGGCAGCACCCTGGCCCCAACCCCGCCTCCAAACAGAGCCCTGAATTCTTTCTCTCTCTCTCTTTCGAATTTAGGGAGGAGAAAAGCAGTTTAGTAAATCCAGGGCAAACTAAATGATACGTGCAAATCTAAATTGCCCGTGGGAGCGGAAATCTGGCACCCTGCAGGTGTTTGTATGAGGAGAAATGGGTGGGGTAGAGCTGAGACATCGAGATGATGTTTTGCCATGTGCAATGGAGCGCAAATTTCTTTTCACATTTCAATCCATCTTAAATAATTTTTTTGTCACTGCATATTCACTGCTTTCTTGGTTTGGGGCTATTTTCATAGAATTATGCTTGAGTGAGCAGAACGATCCCTTTCGTGTGATACTTCCCAGCATGTCAAAAATGTGTCTCTATCCACAACACTTTTCTGGTACAAACCTGTGGCTTCTCTGGGTGCCAAATAAGAACTTAGCGAGAAGATCAAACGTGGCTCTAGGTTAGAAGCTTTGAGCTGGAAGCTCTTCAAAATCAATGTAGTTTTATTTCTAAGTTATTTTGAAAGACAAAAAATCGATTTTCCTTTGTCCTGGGTTAATTATATCACTGGATTTGTCAACTGAAATGTACTCCTCTTTAATTAACGCACACCCAGGAGCTCAGGTGTGGTTTTTGGGGTGGGCGGGGGTGGCAAACCGTATTAAGAGCAGTAGATCAAAAGTTTAAGTGAAGCATTTATGTAGAAATGAATTGATAGCCTGATATCAGTGACTCGGGACTAAGAAAGCAAAGAATTATTTCCCTTGGCAGCTCTTTATGATAATGTAAATAATGCAGTGGGCAGGAGCGACTGCAGAAGGAAGAGCTGTGTGTTGTGTGAGGAGGAAGCGCCGACTCCTTGGCTGAAGGGCTCAGCAGGTTTGTGCAGCAGCGAGGGGGGCTGGCAGACGTGGCACTGCTCAGCTCGTATCTGACAGGCAGGTTGTATGATTGGTTATCAGGTATCTTTGGAAATTCCCAGAGAATGACAATTAACGAGAAGGCTTCTTCAGTTTTGCATTTTAATTTATTATGAAATGAAAATTGATGTTTCTTATTTGAAAATCACGTTTATTGAAGTGAGTCTCCAATGCACTGCAGTGATATTTCACATTCAGAACAGATGCACCGAATCAACATTTTGATGCTTTTTCAAATACAAATCTACTCTAGATGTTCTGCTGTGTAAGGCAAAAATGATTTTATTAATAAACACACACACACACAAAGATGAAAAACTGAATTGTCTGAGATTTGATAATTTGGCATTTTTCAACCCTTGCTGCTTTCAGGGAGAGTTAAATTGGTTTCTTTATGAAGTGCAGTGGTGCCATTTTGGTGCTCTCCCCTCCACCGGCGCTGCTCACATCTTCTCCTCAATCTCCTTAATCTGAGAGGACACGACTTTGCCATCAATCACCTCTTCGACAATGGTCTTGATCTTTTTAACTTTATTTGATTCTGGTAATGAAATGGAGCAGTAAATTAATAAAAATGGAGAGTGTATTGACAGGATAAAATTACTGTAGCACTGGCAGCAATTTCACTAATGAGAAAATAGACAAAAGCATCTTTTCAATGCACAGTTACTAGGAAGTAAACTTTTGGGTTTATCTTCCTTCTAACATTCTGTATGTTACCCATAATACTATTCTGGGTGTTGTGTTAAATAACTGTTCATCATTATGTTTTTGCTTCAGATTTGCACAAATTTGCAAACCTCAAAACTAGGACCTTGCTTACACAGATGGATTTTTTTGCTGTTGAAGTGTGTGCACTTCATTTAGGAGCCTGATCTCCTTGTGCGGTCAGTGGAGAGAAGCAGATGCCTCTGAAAACCTTCAGGAAGGAATTCCATGACCTTGCTGCTCATCTGCCCTTTGAGAAGTCTGTGGTTTTACCTTTGGCACTGTATAACCAAGATGTTATAATGTATAACCAAGATGTTATAATTTGTATAACCAAGATGTTATAATTGCAATATAATCAAGAGAGTAAAGCAAAGCAGACAACGATCACAAAAGAGAATAAATGGAAGAGCTTACCCTTGGGTTGAGCTCACCAGAAGATACCAAAAGAGGGGATCTCCAGAAGAGATCCTTCCCCTCTGGTAGCCAGCTCTTAAATAGGTCCAGGAGGGGTGGAGCCTGGCTCCACCCCTTCCGGCAGCACAGGTGAATTGCCTTCACCTGTGCTCCTCTGGCTGACTCAAGGCTCACCTCAGGTGATCAATCAGAGGTTCAGGCCGTGACTCAGCAGTTCCCATACAGGCACCTAGGTTACACACATAACGCAGGGCTTGTATAATCCCTGCAGCTTCCCTGCTCATACGGTTGATTGCTTTCTTGTTCTAAGAGTTCACTGGTGGTTTATTTGCTCTGAAACTGTGCTTTTTAAAATCAGGCTGCTTAAGTCCATAACATTTAAACAAGAAGCCATCAAAAATACATGGCCTGTGCAACATACCTTTTTCAAGCTCATTTGTAAGTGCCTCCTCTTGGACAAACCTGTTCAGATCGTAAACAGACAAATGTAAGTAAACTGTGCGTGACATATTGAAGGAACAACCTGGTATGCTTTCTGCACCTTTCATCAGAACACGTAAATTTCCTTTCATCAAGATGTTGGCTAAAGCCAAGCCGTGTGTTCAGATGAGTTTTCATTACTAAAGTAAATTTCATCTAGCATTAGCGATAGGTGAAGTTAACCTGCAGGCTGATTTCTGCACTGTTACAACTTCAGCTCCTGAGGATTTGCCCAGCCTGGTTCCTGAGGCAGAACTGCTGCACGGGGAGACCTTTGGGGAAGCACTGCTCTCTGCTTGTGCTGCTCTTTCAGAAACCTCTGTGCGCTGCACAGCAAGGGATGCTGGACTATCCAGACAAAAGGTGTCAGCTCATTTGCACCTCCTACCTATTTAAGTAGCTCAGCTGCTGGCAGCAGAAGTACAGCAGAGCAGAATCCTGTGCAGGCTCCAAAACTTGCCATAGACTGCAAGAGGAGGTCAGTGTGTGCTCACTGAGTGCCTTGCTCTAAAGTGGGCAGGTGCTCATGTAGCCTAAAGCAGTTTAAAAAACTGTGCCCTGGGTTTCTGTCATTATAGTTATGGAAACGTTGATCTAAAACCGCATCACCTTTATTCATGAGTGTGGGCGGCTATCAGGCTGCTCAGCTCAAGGAGACTAACAGCACGTAGCTGTGCACAGGCTGGCACAGACTGATCTGAGCACTGCAGCAGCCTCTGAAGGAGCACAGACTGCAGCCTGCTTGGAGCCTACAGCTGAGAGCCGGGCAACAGACAGACTTTTTCCTTCAAAAACCAGGTGCCAGAAGGCAGATTTTACCACTGTCTGAGAATTCAGAGAGCGTTTGCACTGCTGTCGGCCCCTTTCCTCACCTGACGTCCTCTCCTTCCAGCAGACGTCGGTACGTGGCGATCTCCAGCTCCAGGCGAGTCTTGATGTCCAGCAGGATGCTGTACTCCGTGTTCTGTGCCTCCATGTCGGCCCGCAGTTGCCTCAGCTGATTCTCTAACCTGGCAATTGTCTCCTGTATTTGAGCCAACTGAAAACTGTAACGTGCTTCAGTTTCAGCCAGAGTGTCTTCCAAAGACTTCTTCTACAATGAGTGAAAAGAACAGATTTATTGTTCAAGAGGATGCGTTTTGTCCTTAAAATTAGATTTGGAAAAATGTCGCAGTTTCTGTATTTATCTCTATAACCATCTTCTAAACACGGGCCCAACTTCAAGAACTGTGTATTACTCACCATGTTCAGATTGGTCTGTAATTCCACCTCCAGGCTATGGCAGATCTGTCTCCGATCTGTGACCTGTCTCCTTTGTTCTTGCAGCTGTTCTACATTGATTGCTACTTCCTGGTTCAGCACTTCTGTCTGAAATACGAAAATGGAAGGACTGTAAGCTGTGACCAAACATGACAGGGGCTCTTGCTGATGTTCAAGCCATTGATCTTACTTGCTTTTCAAATCGTTCTTTGGCTTCCTGGCGGTTCTTTTCTGCCATTTCTTCATACTGCCGCCTCATGTTTTCCATAATGCTTGAGAGATCAGTACCTGGAGCAGCATCCACCTCTACGCTCACCGAGCCGCCCACTTGTTTGCGCAGTCTGTCAACCTCCTGCAACATTGAGCACCGCGTTAGCATCAGCTCAAGTGAACTTTCAGACCTAAATATCGGGCGGAAGTCCAAAATTACAGACATGGAGCTGACTCTTAATTCTTAGATGTCCCTGACAAAAAACAAGCAAACAAACAAACAGGTGACAGTTTTGCTGCTCTCACCTCCTCATGGTTCTTCTTAAGAAACACTATTTCTTCATTCACATTTTCAATCTGTGATTCCAAGTCTGATTTAGTTAAAGTCAGGTCGTCAAGGACTCTCAGCAGCCCATTGATGTCGCTCTCAACACTTTGCCTGAGCAATAACTCATTTTCAAACCTGTAAAACAAGGCTTCTTTGGTCATCATCGAAGTGCTGCTGTTTGACAGAAATATCAAATCAATTACTTTTACAGCCCGAGTCCTAGAATATTTGTTTTTACTGATCTTTGTGGCTTACTTCTTAGCTTTGATACCAATGACTAGATGTTATCCTGAATAACTGGGACATGAAGGAGTGCAGGCAATGCGTGCAACTTACTTCAGTCTGAAATCATCAGCAGCCAGCTTGGCGTTGTCAATCTGCAGGACAAGCTTTGCATTTTCCATCTGTGCAGCACTGATCTGAAAAGGAATGGTTGGAAAGGGATGAAGCAGTGGTAGCAGAACTCACAAAGGACACTGAGTGAGTCTTAAACATTAGAAAGTCTGTCACTAATTTGTATCCGGCCAGCATTAAGCATTTCCTGTTCCAGGTGAGACAGTTCCAACTTGAAACAGCAGCTTTTCCACAATAGATTGTGATCTTGCAGTTCATGTTGTTATGGATGGCTGTACGAGATCTTACCTTGTTTTGGAGATCCTCGATTGTTTGAAAGTAGGAGCTGTAGTCGCTCCTTATGCCTCCTGTATTCTTCTCATGCCACTCCCTGATCTGCTTCTCAAGCAGGGAGTTTGCTTTCTCCAGAGAGCGCACCCTCTCCAGATAGGCGGCCAAACGGTCGTTTAGGTTTTGCATGGTTGATTTCTCATTGCCGGAGAGCAGCAGGTCGTTGTCAGAAAAGTTGGAGTAGAAGGCACCGCCGGAGCTCTGCCTGCGGACGGAGCTGCTGGAGACGCGGGTGCCATAGCCGCCCGCCCCGCCGTAGACGCTGGGCGCCTGGATGCGCTGCACGGCCGTGCTCCTGATGGACAGGGCGCTGCTGCCGGGCGCTGTGCCCTGCAGGCGGGCAGCCGTGCCCAGCTGGAAGCTTTGCGTGGAGAACGACATCGTGCTTCTGCTGAGGTGGGGCGGCTGACTCTACAACAGCGAGCAGCTGGAGCGAGGTGCGGTGTGCGTTCCGTCCACCTTTATGTTGTCTGTGGAAGAGGAAGCGCGGTGGTTGTAAACCCCACCTCTCTTGACGCATGCTGTAATTGGTGTCAGTGCAAACAAAGCGCAGGACATTGTCCCCGCATTCTGTAGCGCAAAGGGTTTTTAATCTCTTCATCTGCCTTTGAAAAAACTCCTCAGGAAATTTGGTTTTCTTCGTTTTTAGTTTGAATAAAAGATAAAACACAAACGAGCTGCTGAATCATTTATAGCAGCCTGTCTCTATACGGCCATTGTCAAACAGATCCCGTGTGCAGGTTATGAAATTAAAATGAGTTGACTGTATGTGACAGGAGACTTTAAATATTTATATCTCAATCAAGTACATATTGCTGTTGTGTGAGCCGTCGCCTGGGCCCGAGGGTGGTGTAGAAAAGTCACAAAATGATTAGAAAGATGGCATTTGTAGCGACTGCCTTAATTCATTCGACTGTGGGCACAAAACAGTAATCTTGGTGTGAAAATTACTGGCGTAGTTTGCTTGCATTGAATGTATGCTGTTCAGTGGTAGAAGGTCCTTAGAAGTTGAACTGGGCTGCAGTTCAGTTGAGATGAGTCAGAAAGTGCATTGCTGTGTGAGTAGGCAAAGCCATAAGGCTAATGGAACCACCTTGATTGCTCACTTATTTTACATGTGAGATGCTGATGTCCATAGATGGAGCTGAGATCCAGCTTCCAGCACAGCTTGGTGCTCCTCAGCTCCAAGGCCTCCCGTGCGGCTGAAGGGAGAGCAGAGCAGAGCCCGGCAGTGTGCTCAGCACGCTGTGCCCTGCTGTTCCGCTGCTGGCTGCTCTGCCGCTGACAGGAAATCAGCTGCCTCTGTTCAGCACACAAAGAAACCACAGCAGCTGTGTTTTGAGGAGTTCCTCCAGCTGCAGTAGATGTACTTCCGAGATGTGAAATGCTGAGATACAGTGGACAGTGAGTGGAGAAGCTGATTGCTGAGGGAGTTACTGGCGCTGCACGAAAGCAAGCAGCAGGTGTGCAGCAGGACAAAGCAGGTGTAGTTCCTTGGGGCACTGCTTTTAGTGTACTTCAGTGTATTAATAATGTATAGCTAGTCAGGCAGAACAGTTAACATGTATTGTTTATTTTAGTGAAAAAGAGCTGCTGTACGTACTGGTCTTCAATCTGGGGACAAGGAAATTGGTGGCAGGCTGAGCTGAGGGGCACTGTGCTGCATCTCAGAAGCATCCGCAGGATTTGAGAACTGAGTGTGGGATTCTATGGGCCCAGTTGTGCTCAGTTAAGTTACAGTGCTGTCAGAAGTCTGCTGAGTGGTGCTGGAGCAAGGCAGAGTTCAGCTGCTCTGGAAATATGCATATTCCAAAGCAACATGAGCAGCGTTCAGGGCAGAGCTCCTTTTCATGAAGATGCAAAGCATACATTCAGCTGTCTGAACTGTCGTTGGACCTTGAGCTTTGGGTGTAGCTGAAAAGCATAAGTGTCTGAAAAACATTTATGGCAGGGCCAGTCAAAGTACACTAGCCAGGTCAATTGGCCTGTTGCTATAGACACTCAGGGAGGGTCTGTTCTATCTGCTCTGAATAGGAGTCATTGCCATTATTAGGGCACGGCAAAGATACTGCTACAATTACATCTTCTGGCCGTGTGTTTCACTGCCTGGGTCTCTTATAGTATTCTCTGATGACTTGTTTTTAGCAGACTCTGTGCTTTGTCAGATTTTACGCAGATGTCTGAAGGTCTGTGTGTACTCACAATAACTGTTGTAGCAACGCCAGCAAGTTGTTTGATTTCCTGTCACCTTTGTGATGGTCGCTGAGCTATGAAGATAACCATACAAGGCTGTGATAACGTTGCGTGCCACGTCGCGCCTGTTAGTCACCAAGCAGCCAGAGGTAACCAGGCACGGGAGTTCCAGGAAAAAAGACACACCCAGCTTTGGCTCTGGGTTTGAGCAGCCTGGAGCTGGAGCACCTCTTTCCCTTTGGCTGAATTAAAGGTTTAACTAAAAAGGTTTTTTCAGTTCAGGCTTTAGTGATGATCCGCTTTAATGGTGAAATCCAGCGCCTGTTTATTAGTCCCCGTGACCGCATGGTTGGTTCAGTTCGGGTTTTGTGTCATAACAAATTGATTCCATAATGTCTTTTACAACGCAGTTGTGAAAAGGCTTCCGCTGTACGAAGTACATTCAAGGAAGAGGAGTTCTGTGCTCAGTATTTCAGCCGTGTTCCAGCCACGATCCATATTGCTGTGTTTGAAAAATACCCCCTTCTCCTCATAACCTCCCTGTGAGAAGATGTGGCCTCATTTGTGCCACACGTCTGGTTTGGAACCAAGAGAGCAGCAAGGTGGGCATTCAGGCACTGTGCTGCTGTGCAGGTACAAGCCAACGGCAGCTTCTGAAAGCAGATTTTAATGAAAGAGTGAAAAAGGATACTTAGGACAGTTCTCCACCCTGAAAGCAAACAGTGTTTGCACCATTTGTTAATGCTGCACCCTAGAATGCAAACTGTAAACAGAGATATTTCGTGTTTTGCAAACTGTGATCCAGGCTCACTATGTTCGAACTGGGAAGCAGGATTTCCCAGGGCACAACGACCCTGCAGTCTGCAGGAAAAGCTCCTCCTTTGCACCTGGCGCTGGGACCCGTTCTGTGTTGGTCTCTTTTATCTGAGAGCCACTAAATGGGAGCAGCCGGGCTGGGTTCACGCGAAGGCAGAAAGGATGGAGCTTTCTGGCTCTTGTCCCTGCTGACTGCTGTGAGAACGGAGGGCTTTTCTCAGAACAAGTGAGGGGTGCTTGTCTGAGCTACAAAAGCACTGCAACCAAATCAGAGAAGGACAGATGAGGTCACTAATTGACTGCCTTCCTTAATGCCTGAACACCTGCAGTGCAAGATCTTACAGTGGCTGCCTCACCTACGTATTTTTTTCCTTATTTCCTTCTCCTTTTTACCTTCTGTCCAGTGAAAATATTCAACTAGTCAAAACACTCCACCTTTTGTTTTCTGCAGTGAGTTTTTGATCGGAGGCAGATTTAACATGATGTTAAATTGGACAGTACTCGAGGAAGTGCTGCGGATTTGCAGTGGTGAGGAGGAGAGCGTGTTGGATGCATCCTTCCCCAGCCACTGACTGCAGAGTTGGGAGCTGCCTGTCCTGGCTTAGCCACTGTCAAGTAGAACCAAAGTCAGTGCCAAGGAAAACAGCTCCAGGCCACACAAATGACTCTTTTTTTTCCCCCTTTCAAAGTATTGCAAATGTCAGCTTTAATGTAATCTAAGAGATCGCCAGTAGGAATTTTTCCCCTGTGGGACCCATGAGCAGCTGAGGGGCAGCGGAGGAGAAAATCAGCAAGCTGCAGAATATTCTCCTTGGTGTGAGAGCAACCAGTAGCAATGTTGGCTGAACGCCTGTGCGTGTGGAAATGAGGTTTGTAAGCAGCCATATGAAACAGCTTAAAGCTAGCACAAAGCTGGGACGGCTCAAAGCCACGGGAAGATGTGACACAGAGCAGTGGGGTCCCAGAATACCTGGGCTGGAAGGGCCCACGGGATCATGGACTTGCAGGACCTCCTCCCAACATGTCTGCATCGTTCAGCAAGCAAACACAATTTCCATGGCCCTGAGCAAATATATGCACACTGATAGCACACTGTGACAGTTGGGTACAAACACTGCACTGCACGCCATGACATTTATGTAGAATTTTTCTCTAGCTCTTACAAAACAGCAGCCCTTGGGGTGCTGGCAGTGCCCAGCACACAGTCCCAGCTCCAGTCGGCTCTCTGACCTTGGCCCAGGGGAGGCACAGCTACCAGGGCAGCTGCTGTGCTGACTCAGTCTCACCTTCACGCAGAAGTGTCGTGCAGATGGAGCTGTGTGTCACTAGGGGCCACCATAGGCCTTCTGAGAGGAGCTGCCCGTGGAGTCTGTACTGCTTGCTGCAGCTGGCAGCTCGGCGCTGGATCCAGAGCGTGCTTCGTGACAGTTATGTAACAAAACTTCACGTATTACCCGCTTTTCTGTTCCCATATCCAGAAGAAAAATTTTTGGCATAATTCTTGTGGCCAGATGTGTAAAGCAGTATTTATCTTCACAGCCACAAGCTGTGGTTAAAAGGAGTTCAGTGGTTGTGGCAGTGAGCTTGTTAAGCAACAGCTCTGAGTATTTTCTGTCTGCACCTCCTGTAATGACAGACGTGTTCATTATCCATTCAGCTGATGCCCCTTTCTTCATTGCTGCAGCTCAAGTACCTTGATCCTTAGAGAGGAGTAAACTCTGGACATTAAACATACATATGTTTTTTGTTATTTGTGTGCTTTGTTTGATTCTGTTGTGTTTTTTCATAGTAGCAATGTCATTTCCAGTGGAACATATCGCTCAGAAAATGGCTCAGTGGGAGCCTTGAAGCTGCTCTGTGGCAACATTAATGAAGAGCTGCCACAGCTTCAACATTGCTTTGTGCCTCAGTAGGAAGGAAGGTGATTTGCCTTTTGAGAAGTGGTGATTTGCCAGCACTGATAACTTTCAGGTTCCCTTTTTGGGCCCGGTTCTAACAGCACCGCACGCCGCCTCCTTTGTATTTGCAGTGCTAAGAGTTCCTTCCTGTTTGTTTGTTTTACGCCTCTGATGCTGCAGTTTCTGTTGGTGTGATCCAGGCACTGCAGCTCCCAGCTGGAGCTCAAACTTTTCTCTGAAGGTTTCACATTTTGTCCACAGAAGTCCTGCATGGTTTGTCAGCTACTTGTCACCTTGTTTCTTTCCTCTTCTTTTCCCTGTCTGCTTCAAATAATTATTCCTCTAAATTAATTATGTTTTCTCTAATTAAATTGTATTCCTCATTTTCACTGCATTCATTAGAGCTTAATGACAGCCTATCAAATTAAATCCCTTTGGCTCATCCTTAGGATGTTGTGAAGCAAAGAAGATTTACCCCTGAAGTCCAGATAGTTATTGAAAGTGTCTTTGCCACAGCCAATGTTGTGATTTTATGCCTTCAAGCTTCTGCTGCATATTCAGACATTCAAGAGGCAATTTAACGTGTCTAGAAGCAGCAGCAGTGCTCCCATCCGCCATCAGGTCACGTCTGGTCCTTTTCTGTCATAAGTCTGTCTGTACTTTTCTATCATAAGGACTTTTCTATCATCAGGACAGTCCAGAACTCAAATGTGAGGAGCTGGTGGTTGTGTTCAAAGCGATTCTCCTGGGAGCAGCTCCTTCCTGCCAACCCTTAGGTGTACGGCTCAAAAAGGTCATTTCAGTATAGCTCTACAAATACAAATGCCTTCAAAACACGGCTTGAAAAGAAACGGAATTACAGTGAGGCAGGGGTTCTGAGGAAGCAGCGTGCAGTAAAACAGGCCCAGATGCTTCCTGCTTTCTTAAAGCCAAACACATGGAGCCAGCAATTAAGATGCACTGCAGAATAGTTGGGGCAGTGGGGGGCAGGGGGTGCAGGCCTCTCAAGCATCATTCTTTATTTGCCTTCCCATCTATAGATTCTTCCCTCTTCTACATGATTCACACACGGGAGCAGGCATCTCCCAGCAGAACTGCAGAAACCTTTATAGGTCAGGGTGTGGGCATTGTGAAATGCTTTACTGGCTCTTCCACCTATTCTCTGTGCTTCGGTAATAGCATGCACACAGTGTTTTTAGCAGTGATGTAAATGCTAGATTTTGTTTTCTGCTCCTGCTGAAATGACGAGCTTAATTTTGCATCTGTATTAACGAGGCAGGTACAAAGCAAAAATTTTGCATTCAAGAGAAGTTTCTTGCTTGTAAATAAGCAAGAGAGCTGCCAATGTGTGGCCACATCACCAGAAAGAATGCGTGATTAATGGCACCAACCATTACTGCATTACCTCATCGCAGACCTCTTCCAGAGGATCAACAATTCACTTAGCAAAGCTGTGTATTGTAATGCACCTTAATAAGTTCTAACATTTCTACAAGTGAAATGAGCTGTGACTCATACGCATTCTGGAGTGCATTCAAGTCTGTTATAAATACGTTGGAGGATTATTTAGTGCAGGACTTCCTTAAATGGCAGGTGAAACTACGAGCGGGGATTTGAGAATGCTGGTGGTTTCAGCCTCCTTTTATAGCCTGAAAGTTCCTCAGTCTTGTCGGTCTGCAGTAGTGTTACATCACTCAGCCTTAGAAATGGCATTATGTCCTGCTGGGGTTTTTCTGCTATCCTCCTCCATCTGTGGGAAATAGAATGTCTTCATTTTGAGCCTGTTCTTTTCATGATCTTTCAAATCAGAAAAATGGCAGATTCCCTTGGGCCTGGGTCAGTCACTTCTTTGATACTGAATGAGCACCTCTGTATGCATTTAATACGAATGTGGAATAAATTCCAGCTCGCGGCGTGTTGAAACAGCCGTACGATGAAATAATGCCACAATCTGTAAAGCAATGCAGTATCACACTTGTGAAGATTTCCCTCCCTTCGAGACACTGATCTCAGTCTCAGGGAAAGCAGGACAAACCTCACCTCTTTTTTAGAGTTTCCCACATTCTACAAAATCAGCAAAACTGCTGTCAGTGTTGCTCCCAGCAGTGATCTGTGCAGGGCTGCTGACCCGAGTGCACGGACCATAGGTAGAAGTGGTGGATGCTGAGATCATGATTTGTTCCTGAGAGTAAAGAACAAGATTTCAGAAGTAGTAATGAATGGCTGCAGACACAGGGTACCATAAGGCCAGTGGCACAGCATCGTGAGCTGTTCCAATGGAAGGAATCATCAGCGACACGTCGTGTTCTGAAGTCAGGAGAAATGCCTAGGAATAAGCTGTTTTTGCCGTAGAATAACTGCTTTCATTTAGCAAACAGAGCACAGTGTAACTAATATGTATATGTTTAAGGACTAATTGGTTCAATTCAATTATTAAAAGCAGCCAGCATGGATATGTTAGAGCCATGGACGTGTGACGATGTTGGTAAATGGAGCTGAGCGAGGTCAGGTGAGGAGCTGTGCTGGTCTGAGCGCTGCGCCAGTGACAGCTGTGAGCAGCTGTGCTTTGCAGCTCTCAGTGCTGCTGCGCCCAGCTGAGCGCAGTGCAGGGACACCAGCAGAGCACCTGGGTGCTGCGTGGGGTGCTGGGCACAGCAAAGCCAGTGCAAAGGTGTGAAATAAGGATGGGCTCGTTCTCTATTGCTCGCTCTACAGCCATTCAGTTTTCTTTCTTCACAGTTTAGCGCAGTCAAAACCTAGAGCAAAACAGATCCTCTCCTTTGGTTTAGAAATTAGGGGCTGCTTCGAAGTTTTAATAGCAACCTGTATCACAAGAATGCCAACATGCTTTGTGAATTTGGTAAATACGTACAGCTTGAAGTAACACAGGAAACTGTTCAGGAACACCCAGGCACATTTTGTCCAGCTGCTACAAACACCAGATCTGGCTTGTTGGATCTGGTAAGCCGTAAGGAAGGATGTTGTTAGTTAGCCAAGAGTTACCAGTCCTGTATTACAAGTTTTACCCAATTTAAAGAAACCATTAGGTAATCCATCCGATGCTTTTGGGATCTCTTTGTGCAACAAGGGTGGAGAGTTGGGGGAGGGGGGCAGGGGGGGATCATGGACTGGTCCTGACTTGCTGGTAGGAACTCATGGTGTTGTAGAGGTGGACTTGGTTTATTTTAGATCTGTGTTGTCTTTGAAATTTTCTTTTGTGAGCCATGTTTCAAAGGAAAGCTGGTAATAGGAATCCTGCACGAAAATCCGTCACAAGGAGATATGGAGGAGTTCTGTGACAATTTCACTCATGAATATGAGGCTGCCCTGGATGTACTGTTTTATGTGTAGATGTTGACTTTGGAATGCAAATCCATGCAGACGCTCTCGGTGCTCCGCTTCGTCTCTCTTAGCTCTGCTTTCCGGGTTTCACTGTCTACTGCCCTGACAACACTGCTGTTTCTCATGCTTAGTTTTTAGTGCTGTGTATCTCTGGAAACTTTCATGCTGCTGTTGGGGTCTGAGCTGGGGCTGGGCTGATCTGAGGAAGGCGATGGAGCCTGGGTTTGGCTGAGCAGCGCAGGTCTCTGCCTTCCTGCAGGCACACCTTGGTGTGCACTGCGCACAGCAGCCGTCGTGACTCCGGGATCCATCAGCCAAAAGAGTGAGCATCAATAAGAAAGCAGATTGTGGAGTTTTGAAGTAAATGGGTCACCGAGAATGTATGGGAGCATATGGGAAATTACTTGTAGTCTTGGAAGGAAAAGGTGTGAAGATGACTGAAGGAAATTTCTCTAAAACTGAAGAATGTTCAGTTGTTGTTTTGAGGATGTAAAGTGTACTTTTCAATACTGCTGATAATGCTGCTTTAAATGGCAGCAACCAGAAGCTGTATAGAAGAAAATCTGACAGTTTTGCGTATCAATGTCATGTGTAACTTGCACCACCTCCTTTTGTATCTGCACCCTTCCAGCTTTGTGCTGCTCCATCAGTGCAGAGGCTCTGTGGCCTCTTTCCATAGCACTGCCATTTCGGGCAGGGCATATTTAAGAATAAGCAAGATCAGAAATTCCAGTAACCAGTACGAGTAAAGGAAAAGAGTTTATTGGCAGCAGTGAGGTATATGGTAAGAGACATGAGACAAGGAGAAGAAGTCAGAGATTATTCACTTTAAATTATAGTTAATTTGCAGAGCAGTAAATGAACCACAGATGGAGATTCGTGCCCCAGTGAGGCGTGCATAATGCATACATTACCAGCTCAGACAGTCATCTTGATTGAATAGTTTGGCTCCAGCATTTTGATGACTAAAAGCTCTTAAACAGCACCAGCTCTGCCCAGCTCTGCGTGGCTCTGCAATGTCAGGCTGCAGGTGGCTGCAGGGGTGTCACCCCGCGGGCCAGTGCACGGCTGGCAGTTGCAGAGCAGCCAGCAGGGGCAGCCCGGCAGCCCACCAGGAACAGAGGAGCTACAGAACGTTTTCCTTCACTCTTGCTGGTGGATCTGGTTGGTGGTGGAGGACATCAGCTGCCCATTCACGCCGTCGTGCACAATCGCTTTGATCTCTCCATTGGTCAGTTCAGCATATTCTGGAAGAAAATGAAAGGTTAATTATACCAGACTTTGGGGAAACTTCATTTACAGTAATTTACCAGCTACCTCAACTGATTTATCTTTACGTGTTTTCCTTTAAGTCAATACTTATTATTGCTCTGTGTGAAATTTACTGACAGAGTCACCCTGGGCCTTGTCCAGGTCAGGGCAAATGAATAGCAAAGCTGCATCGCAGCCAATGCAAATCTGACTTCAGAGCAGATTCACCTGCATGTCCGTAGGTCATGCTCATACCAGAAGAGGAGTTTTCAGACATGCAGATTTTGTTTGCTCTCATGCTCTCAGACGGTTTTAGTCACCACATGGAGTCTTTATGCCTCCTCATCTGCCACGAAAGCTTTAGTCTCGAGCCCAGGCTTTGGCCGTGTCTCAAGGCAGGGCTGTCTGGGGAGCAGCTGTGGGAGGGCAGATGCAGCAGAATGTGCTGTGAAGTGCAGTCCTTCACAAGCCTGATGAATCACAGGAACTATTCTCAAATATGGCCTGCATGAGGAGCTAACTGCAGGGCAACCCCTGCAGAGCTCTGTCGTGTGAACTGAAAATGATTTGGAGTCGAGCTTGGTAGGAAATGACAAAATTAGAGTCACTGCAGAGAACAAAATAAAGGACTTTTACCTTCAGCTTTTGATTCACATGTTCTTGTTATCCTGTAAAGATGATGAAACAGAGACAAAATAATGAATATAGAGATTTTAAGAAGTTATTCTTCACCTTCTCACTGATTCTAAGACCTCCTGTAGAAGGTATGAGATGAGATGAGAAAAGCCCCGGTTTGGGCTGTGATAAATAACCTGGAGCCACCTGTCCTGCACTGCTTGCTGGGGACACTCACTGATAAAGATTACATCTTCCCTGTTCTGATTTGGCATAAATGAGACGAACTCTGTACAGAAGGTGGGAGAGCAAAGGACAGAGAGGTGCAGCCATTTCTGAATGTAGATTCAGCCAAGACACAGATGAGAAAAGAGCAGTGCCTCGGCACAGGGACACGTGGGAGGTTCTGATTGCTGGTATTTGTGGCTACACACGGCTGACCCCACATCTGCACTTGTCTCCACGCTTCTCCTTCACCCAAAATCTAAAAATCATTAAAAAATATATTTGTTATATTAATTTAGATCATCCAAATGACTGGATACATGTTTCTCTGCATACCAAGTGGCTCCAGCTTTGTATTACGATCCATCAGATTAAAATATCAACCCCTCTGTAGCATGGAACTGACAAGTCTGATTGAGTAAAGAAACCAACCAATAAGCTGAGCACTGGAACTCTTCTCATCTGTTCCAGCAGGGCAGCTTTCCTCACCTGTCCACGTTCCCTTCCAGCAGCAGGCGGTAAGTGGAGATTTCCTTCTCCAGGCGTGTTTTAATCCCAAGCAGAACCCTGTACTGGTTGTGCTGCTGCCTGATGTCGTGGCGAAGCTGGCTGAGCTCTTCCTCACATTTGGAGATGATCTGCTGCATGTTTTGAAGTGCGATGGCGTAGTGATTGCGAGTGTCAGCCAAGGTGTCTTCCAGCATGTGTTTCTGACAGAACAGATCGTAACAATCCTGTGGTTATGATGGATGTAGTACATAGTACAGAAATGTCAGCAAATTTGGTCTCTGATCAAAGATTACAAAAGTTAGACTGTGGTCATTTAAACACGTGCACTTGAATCGTTATTCAGGTGAAGATAGCAGAATCATGACGTTACGTGTGCACAATGAATGGCAGAGAATGAGTAACTGAGCCCTGCCGTATTCCTTATGCTCAGAAACGGTGCTCCTGTGTTTTCTTTCTCTTCCCCCATTTTTTGTTTGTTTGTAAGGTGAGATATACATTTTTCACATCCTGCTGATGGTTGCAGAATCTATTTTGCATATTCTGACAAAGCGTGGCCCAAATTTCAATTTCACTTTAATAACTGCAACAAAATTACACTCGGCATAATTTAAGCAGAGAATCGGTCCAAGACGGTTCCTAAGAATTTATGATGCAACAGTGGGCAGCCAGAGATGTCTGCCACAGATACCTTACTCAGCTGCGCCTGCAGCTCGATGTCCAGGGACTGTAAGGTCCGCGTGAGGTCCTTGATCTCGTTCTCGCTGCTCTGGATCTGCTCGGGATTGGGGGCTGCTGCCAGGGACACGGCTGTGCTCTGCGGAGCAAAGGCAGGAGAGAAGTTCAGTGGCTCTGGTCAGTCAGAGCAGCAATGGGGGTCTTTGAAATGAGCAGGAAAGAGCTGTTACCAGTTCTCTGTACCAGCTGTCAAGGCTTTGACGATTCTTTTCTATTATGGCTTCGTAATCTTCCCTTATTTCTGCCAGAATCTTGGCCAGGTCTTCAGGAGGCGGCGCGTTCACTTTCACATTGACCTTGAAGTCCTGCGATGAGCGATTTGCTTCCATGTCCTATTGGTACAGGCACGGGAAACAAAGAGATTTGTTCATGAAAAGGGGAACAGTTTCCATACCTACACTTGTCTCTTCCTCAGTTCCGTCCTCCCAGAATGCCCCAGATACTCCTTTCATCGTGGTGAGGTTAACTGGTAGCTCCAGTCCCCGACTGGGAGGTTTGTGTGGATGATGCTGTGACGTGACTTAAACCAGGGACTGAGACCTGCTGCCACGTGAGAGAAATCAATAGAAAACCATGTCAGAAGGTCTTGTCAAATAAAGCTTCTGGAAGATGTCTGCACTGAAGCAGAAACATTTTTGGGTTACTTATCTGTTAAGAACTTAAAACCTTTCATGAAAACCTAACAGTAATTTCATATTTCTTACCCGGTATGTTAATGTTTATGGAACTATAACTAAGTTTACAGGATAGCAATATAAAAGTTCTGTGTAATTGTTAAAGGAGTAATTGGATTAAAACATATAATTACTCTGTAAACAACATAATTACAGGACAAGTGGAGCAGGTCTGGTAACATTCCTGTGCTGCAGCACAATCCTATGTGCTTGGTACCATTTTCAGAAGCGCCCAGGCAAAGCAGCGCTGCAGGCATGACATCACAGCCTCCAAATGCAGGTCAGCTGGACACGGCTCTGCTGGCTGCCTCGACTCCAGGAGCCCATCTGGTACGGCTGCTCAGTTGATTCAGTTCATGCTGTGAGGGAACCAGCCGAGGAAAGCTGCACCTATGCTGTGTAACCCTCGTGTTTGTGCTCTGCTTTGTAGCGCCACAGATACTGAGTAGGATGTTTGGCTCTGCATTAGCTAATAACTGAAAACAACATTAGCTCAAGCAAAATGAAAGCAGCATGTTGACGCACAGTGGTTTTATGTAAGGGGGAATAACAGATGTTATTGTGGTGTAGCTCTGAAAGAAGGCAGAGCAGCACTATTTTTTCTGACACGGATTATTATCTATTTAATTGTGCTTAGAATTTTGCAAGAATAAGCAGTCTTACTTGACTCCATTAACCACTGTGTTCAGTTTTGATCCTCTGAGAATTCAGCAGCTGCTTAGCTCAGGTCAGCCTGATGGAGCAGCAGGGAGAAGGTGCCCTCAAGGGGTCCCTTCCAACCTCAATCCCTGTGATTCTGTGATTCTGTGCAGTGCTATATGCAGAGTTGACGGGAAATTTGGTGATCAGTCAAACTGAACAGCAACCAGTGACGTTTCCTGAGTGCAGCATCCGTCAGTGTGTAAGGACTTGTGAGAACACTTGTGTCAGACATGGAGGTTGTTAGCTATGTATGGTGGGTGAGTAGGTGACTAGAAAAGAGCCTGGGAGAACACACAGCAGGCTGCTGTCCTTACTGAGGTGCCAGTGACTGGTAACCTTGTCCATAAGCTTCATGCTTCATCTGACTCTCATTGGCTTCTTCAAAACGCAGCTGGGTCCTGAATCATCAATCCCACTTATAGATTACAGATCTTACTCCGAGTTAATTACACAGTAGCACAGATCTGTGTGATAGCATGACTTCTTTTACCTCCTCATGGTCTTTCCTCCTGAGGATGTGTTCTTCTCTCAAGCCTTCAATTTCCATTTCCAGATCTGTTGTAATAATGGTCAGGCCATCGAGTTCCTTACGCAGGTTCTCAACATCGCACTGCACTCCCTGCCTCCGAGTCTTCTCTGCTTCATACCTTGGTCAGGAGAAAGAAGGCAAATCCCACTCACTGAGAACAGCTTCCAGCCTCTCATACAAGTGGTAGAAAGAAACATTATTTGCAATCGTTGCTTTCTGTGTTTTTTTTTTAAATGGTCAATTTTCAGTCCATCAGAGAACAGGAAAGAACAGTTATTAACAGTTATTAACAGTGATTAACAGTTATTAACAGTTATTAACAGTGATTAACATCGCTCTCTGACCCCTCACAGTTTGACATCTTCAGAAAACCAAGGTCACAAGGACTCTGCTGTATCTCCCCTTGGGCACCTTGGACACTTCTGCTCCTCCAAATCTGTCCCTTTCCTCCCCTTTGTGTGTCTGTGCTGGTGTTTGTACACTCAGCCCTCAGGCTCACTCAATTCATCCCAGCCCCTCAATGGAGATCATTTTCATGACACTACGGAATGATACAGAGGAGCAAGGCCTGCAGTGTGCCCAGTCGTTGTTACAGTATTACCAAGAGCTGAGGTGTGTAAGTAGCTGATCATCATCTGTTAAAAGTAAGTCCAGATATCTGCATGATTCCCAAGAAGTCTGATTAGCAGAAAGCTGAACTCCTTTCCTGTGCCAAGATCTGCCTGGAAGCTCTCAGTCCAAGTGTTTTGGCTTTTTAGATGGTCTGAGAACTCTGTCAGCAGTGTCCTGATGAAGCAAACTGCACTGAGAGCCTGGGAAGCATCGGCCCCATTGCTGTGATAGAAGTAAGAACACAAAGCAGAGGATGCTGAAGGACAGGGAGTCCAAAGCAGAGGATGCTGAAGGACAGGTCTTTCTTGCAGAGCTGGGTGGGAGAGGTGATAACTGCAGGAAGTAGATTTGGGCTGGATTAGGGAAGCGTATGGTGCAGAGAAGAGGTAATTGGTGCTCTCAGATGACAGTGTAAATACCATTTGTCACCAGTATCAAGTGTCTGCTGTAAAACCTGCTCTTCAGGACCTGAACAAAGTATCATAAACAGGGTGACTCGGTTCAGCAATCTGAATGTCTTTCACCCTTTTTAAATCTTTTTTTTTAAACTACTTTTGTTCTGCACTGGTTCCGTTTATCTGCTGTCAGCAGAAATCTGCCATCAAATCAATGTCCTGCTGGATTGTCAGGAGGAAATATCCAGCTTAATCCTCTGTCAAACTGAACAAGGAGACAAAAGAAGTTCTTACTTGAGCCTGAAGTCTTCGGACGCCATGTTAGCGTTGTCGATCTGCAGGAGGATGCTGGCGTTGGTGATCTTCCCATCCTCAATCTGCAAAACAGCAAAAACTGTGTGAGCTTCCTTGCGGGTGCCCTTGCTTGTATCAAACGTATGAACAGGAGAAGTCCCAGGGTCAGGAGAGCAAATGAACAGAAGTTTAGTTTCTTGATGCATTTACGTATTTCCACAATTTTTGTCTATTATCTTCACTTTTTATTTGCTTCACTTTCCTGGAGCAGCGCTCCCTGTGTCCGTGTGTCTGGGCTGTGCAGACGGCCGTGCTGAGGTTAACACTGGCTTCCTAATCCAGCCCATCATTCACTGTAATGTACTGAAACCTCTAGCAGCCTGTGGTGATTAATTCATGTTTTGCTTTTGAATGTTGAAATTTGCCCCAAAATGTGAAGGAGAAAGTGTCACTCGTGTAGTGTGCTCATAAGGTAGCTTTGAGCGATTAATCCGAGTATGGAAAGTGCAGGATTGCACTCTAAATCTTTGGAAGTACTCCAGCACCTTGTATGTAATTAGCAGCAGTAACTGCGGGGCATCAATTAGAGAAGGGTCCTTTTCTAACAAATAGGAAAGAGAAGTGTGGTTGCAGCTGCCTTCGCTCAGTGCTGCCGTACCAAAACCAGGCCCTGCAGCCACAGAGGAACATTCTCTGATCAGAGAGCTCCCAGCACTTGTGAGCAGCACTTCCCACCCCGTGAATCGCAGGGACTCCGGGAAGTGGGAAAACTGTCCTCACGTGTCGGAAATTTACCTTCTGCAGTGAAAATCCGAACACACAGGTGGAGTTTTAACTGATCTCTGGAACAGAACAGGCTGTGCATTCCTGAGCACTCAGCAGCACAGCGCAGGCACGGCCCTGGGACGGCACCAGGGGGACGGGAGAGGTCTGAGCCCCCAGTGTGTCAGTGCCTGGGACGCGCTGTCAGGGAAGGGGCGATTGTTGAACCCATCCTTAGAGAAGGGTGCGCTTTGCTGCGGGAGGGAAAAGCCAAGAAGCCGTGAGAGCTGTGCTCGGGTTCTTTCACTTTGTGCCGTTTCGTACAAATGCACCACAGCTACGCACACAGCTGCACTCCTGGCTGCTAAGGGAAGGGATCGTCCTGCTGTGCCCTGGTGGGGCAGCCGTCTGCAGGCACTGCAGTGGCAGAAGGACACACAGCTGTCCGAGGGCTGCAGTGAGGAAGGCAGTGAGGGGCGGGCGGCTGACATCCCTGGTTTGCCAGCAAGGCTCTCTGCGTTCGTTCCTCTGTGTGTCTTCTGGTCAGCAGTGCGGATCCTGCTCCCCCATGTGCTCTGCAAACCAGTTTGGTTATTTGGCAGCACCAGATGCCTGGATACGAGCAAAGAATGACGCACAGGGGCTGCTTCGCTCCATATGGAGCGGGGCTGAGCGAGGCAGCCCGCTGCTCCACGTTTGTCCTCTCGTGTCTGTGGGCACGGCGTGGAGCGGCGCTGGGCCCCAGCTGGCTGTGCCTCCAAGTTCAGGTAGCCACTGCGTCATGGACTTTGTGGGTTATTGGATGGAAGGTCCTAAATTATGTCTAAAAATCATCTTAGGTGCTGAATTCATCTCACCATTTTAATTCGTGGGTAATTAATTTAACGATGATTAATGATTAAATGTTAAATTTTCACTCACTTTGCTGGCACGATGGTAATTGCAATAATTGATGGCAAAAGTGAAAATCCTGTGTTAAACCACTGAAGTGTCACTCATAAATGATCCTTTACCAGCACTGCCTGCCCAGCACCGGGGCCATCGGGCTGACAGCACTCTGCAGTGCATTAGAAATAACGCTTTGGGTGCAGCGCGTTTGGAAGTGAGGGCTTTGCCACAGTCAGCACGGAGCTTTCAGCCACATCATCTTTCTAAGCCTTTTCAATTTGTTAATTTCAAATCTATGTGAAAGCATTTCTATTCCTGATCAATAAGTATTCATCTCCGGACCAGTTAAAAAGGAGCGCTCAGGTGGCAGGTTTGAGGCCGATGACCTTCCTTTATCCTGAAAACTGAAACAGGCGATGGCAATCCTGGCTCTCTGACACGTTGCCTGTGGTCGGAGCGCCTCATCTTCTGCCTGCAGGCAACGCATAACAGCGAGCACGGCTTTGCCGAAGCCCTGAGCTCCATCCGCAGGGCTGTGGGGCTGCTGTGCTCCCAGGGCCTCTGGGAAAACATTTCTTGGGGTCGCAAGAATGCGAAGTGAGCAGAGTGCAGAGAGTGGGCAAAAGCAGCAGCATCGCAGTTGGAATAGCTCTGCTTTGTGCCCTGTGTGGCTGTGCAGTTAATTATGGTGATTAGTCACAGAGATGGTTACAGCGCTAAGTACGTTCATTACGAATACAGATTAATATTATGGTTAAATTTGAAGACACGTGAGTTTGGGAGACTGAAAGAGTTACTGTTGAACATTAATATTAACAACTGGCAAGAACCAGAATTTCTTCTTTTAATTACAGTGAAAACATCCACAAGGAATTTGTCACTGCTATTTCCTTAATTACAATGAAGTATTTTTCCATCTGATTACATAAGCTCATTGGACCCAAAAGTCCTGTAGCTTCATTGTCTGCTGCCACAGGAATCAAAGAAATGAAAGGCAGCAGAACTCCGTCTGAGGACGGCGCGCATGGAAGAAGGCACTCACTTCAGGCTGCCTGCTTTTGAATCTGCCTGCCTGCATTGCAGTCAGAGGATCGTGTTCTGCCAGACGTGGTTCTCAAACCACAGTTTCACGTACAGCACTGAGCACCTGGCAGCATTCGAGCACCTTTATGCTATCAGCCTGCACAGGGGCCCCTCGTTTCCCTTCCAGCCTTTCTTATTCCCCACTTTCCTCCTTGTGGAGGAAACGTTCATGCCCAGCTCCTGTAACCACTTTCATCTGTATTTCTAGCATTTAAAATGTTATTCTTAATTTTCTTTAAAGGAAAGCCATCAGCATAAACGAGGAGCCAGATCCCTTAGAGGAGCGCAGACGGCATAGCTGCGTATAGCTCTGACTTACCTGTCTTTGCATGTCAGTGACGTTTTGCTCGTACTGGTTGAAGTCATGCCTCTTTCCATGGGATTTTGTCCTGTGCCACTCTAGGATGCAGCTTTCGAGCTGAGCGTTGGCTGCTTCTAAGGAGCGGACCTTGTCCAGGTAGGCAGCCAAACGGTCATTCAGGTTTTGCATGGTCTGTTTCTCATTCCCACCCAGGAAGATGCTTTCCCAGTGGCGCTCGCCGAAGCATCCCCAGGACGCCCCCCCTCCGGCGGCCAGACAGAGGGGGGAGAAAGAGGTGTGTGTGCTGCCGGCACCGTCTGCACTTGGAGGTCGGTGAGAAGTTCCTTGCTGGGCCAAACCACACCCTGCACTACCCCTGAGGGACCCAGAATAAAACTGGAAAGGGCCTTGGCTGCTACTCATGTTCGGCTCCGTTACGGATCTCACCCAATGTTTGACTCGCACTGAGCAGCTCCTTAGCCTTCCCCAAGCGGCTTTATGCCTTCTCCTGTGGGAGTTCCCTCCGCTGAATGACTACAGCGAGATTGTGTCATCATGAAACGTGCTTCCTCTTGGTCAATTCTGAAGCATTTATGAGCCTGCACACACTGTTGTTATTATTTGGAATCACAGCCGCATACCAGATTCCTTTTGCTTGTTTTCTTTTTTTTTTCTTCGCTTTTCATATTATAATTGCGAGGTGTGGCTAAAAGCAGTAGGTGTGGAACCGGATCAGCTCTGCTCGGACTGTTGACTAAACCCAGGAGCGAATGCAGAGTATTCTCGTGTTTGGAGGGGGAGGTCGTCATCCGTCACAGGGCGCAGGGAGGCTGAGGGCAGGGGCTGCGCTGCCGGGCCGCTTTTCTGCTGCCGGAATTCTCAGCTTCCGAGCTGCGGCACTCAGCCCTGCAGCACCGCGTGTCCTGGGGCTGTCCTGATGCACCCGACCTCGTCCCCCGGCTGCCGCTCAGCTGTTCCCTTCGCCGCCTGTTTCCCACCGACAAACACCAGAGTTGCATCCTTTGCAATCTTTCCTACTCGTTGTATTCATGATTCGATGTGCGGTCATATTTCAATTTCTGCGGTCTTGTTGAAATATAAAGATAATAAAGTAGGAATTTATCGCTGTTGCTATTGCAAATACTATAAATATATTATAGCTGTAGAAAATATTCCGAAGTTTGTTAAAATACTCCAAAAACTGAAGCTTCCAATGGTGCAAATTGAGCCGGCAGCTGTGCAGAAATAGTCACTCTCGGAACTTCCAGGTCCCCTCCGAAGCTGCGTAAGTCAAAAGCAGAACGGATCAGCGCAGCCCCTGCCCTCAGTTTGCTCTCCATTTATTCTCCAAAACTGCGATCGGTGCCTCCCCGTCCCGCACCCGGCGGCAGCGGCGGGCGCTGAGTTCGAGCGGCCGCAGTGCGGTGGGGCGGCCGGAGAGCAGCGGGGGATCTGTGACCAACAGCGCTCCGCGTTCCGAAGGGTTCGGCTGGGGAGATGCTACGGAACTGTGCTGCCCTGGGAGAAGCCTGCGGAATCCTTTTTTTTTTTTCAGTGTTTGTTTAAATTGAAATTCTGTAACACTGAAGAAGCGCCGCGCTTCGCCCGGCGCCGCGGGGCAGAGGAGCCGGGCTGGGCAGGGATCGGGCTCCGCCTCGTGGCTGCTTTGCGCCTCGGCTGCTGACGCTCCGCGTTCTTCCCTATTTCTCACACACTTGATGGCACTGCAGCTTGAGAGTAACGGGAGCTTGAAGCGCCGGGCAGAAATGGAGAGAGCAAACTGCAATAAAACGTGACGGTAGGATGGAACCAGTGATGTCCTGCCGTTCGGTTCATCTCCACAAAGCTGAATTTCACACTGAGTTTTCTAGTCTGGCAGTTCAGCAAGATAATGTTCTGTGAAATACGATGTTGGAAAATAAGTTCAGACATAATCGGAGTCATGGAAAGGTGTGGGCTGGCAGTGCCCTGCAGCGCGCCCGGCCCCTCCGTGCCACAGAGCTTCCCGGGGCCGGCAGCAAAGCGAGGTGCCGGCACGCAGAAACGGCTCCTCTGAAACTGAGCTTTTTTAAATTGGAAAAGATCGCACGGTTTTCCTCACGCACACACGTGAAGGATCCACGGAAAAGACAAAAATCTTCATTCAAAACCCGGCACAGTTCGGCAGCTGTCTTTTATGTCCCTGTTTTCAGCCAGCTGTGCGATCCGGGCGGTGCGGAACGAAAGCAATGAGGAAAGGAGAGCCGCCGGCAGGTGGCGCCATGCGCTGAGCGCTGCGGGGCTCCCGGAGCGGCGCGCGGTGCCGCTGGGCGCTGTGCGGCCAATCGCCCCGTCGGGCACTGAGCGCCCTGACAGCAGCGATGTGGAGGTAAATAACGTGCGACAACGTGTAAAGCAGAGCTGTGACATTGACACCGACTGAGGACGTGACCGTTGAATGCTCACTTTGATAAGACCCAAGTTGCCCACTTCTTGTCAAGTGCTGTTACTGCTGGGGCAAGATGCTAGGGGAATGGGGCTGCTATGCCCTAGCCGTGTATCCTATCAGCAGCGATGAATGCCATTATATCGTCCAGTAGAATTTCATGGCTGCTGGCAGAGATGGACGTCCTTGAGAATTAATGTCATTTTTTCCCAAATTGTGAGGCTGTGTGCGTGCTCAGGGTTTGCTTTGGCTGTAAGAAACCTGACCGTATGGTAGGCAATAACAACACTGATATTTCAGAAGTTGTGCACGTTGAATTCAGAGCAAAGGGCTTAAGGGTGTGTTTTGCATTATCTTTTTCACATCAACTTCTGCTTCCTGGGAGAACCCAATGGCACTTTATACCTGTCCATTTATCACTGCCTTTCTTAAGGCTGTTGTGTCGCTGTGATGCATGGAGGTACCTCCATGTCAGACCCCACGGCTGGGTTGCAGGGAGTGCTGTGTAAGGGGGGCAGGTGGCTGCGTGGATGGCAGTGCTGCACCGACTACAGAAAAACAACGTCAGACTGAATGCATTTGCACAAGCAGGAGAGAAACTTTATTGTGTAGTTTTTCATAAGGATGCTGTACAGAAAGAAGCAGAAGTCTCTGACCCATAGAGCCAAATGATGGCGTAAAAAGGGAGAGCAAGTTTAAGGAAACACGTGAAGCTGGTGCACACTTTTTGGGTTACAATCTTGTGATCTAGCAAAAGTAACAGCACGTTTCTGTAAGCATTAGCCAGTGGTTGGACTGCCCTTCTTAAAGCTGGTCCAGCACAGGTGGTGTCGCAGCAAGAGAGGATTCAGTATTTCTTTATTAGTGTCTCCTGTCACGAGTGGAGGAAGACCTTCCCTCATCTTCTGTGCCCCCACGGGCTCTTCCAGCTGTGGTAGGAGAAAAAAAGATCATTAAACATATGGGAACGCACAGAATAGTCACTCAATGTTTCTTTGTTTGCTCATTTCCTGACTTTTTTCCGCACAGCAGAGGAGGAGGAGCTGCCTCTGCACCTCATCTTCTCTTCCTGCTGGTCCACATCCAGTAAATCTTCCCAGTTATGAAATAGGAGGGGTAAAGATATAAACAGAGCGCACTGCATGTCAGATTTCTCCTGCAGGTTGTATGAATCAGCGGAGGAACTGAGGAATCTCTGTGAGATTGCTGTGCTTTAGAGCCACGTGAGGAGTCAGTGCAATCATTTTGCAAGCTGGGGTCAAAAGTGCACATAAAATAAAAGATAAGATAAAGTGCAGTGCTTTCCTCTCCAAATGGAAAAGAAGGTATTATTGCAGAGAACATGATCTGTGTTAATAAGAAGAAATACCAAGCAAAAAAGGCTTATTTAATTCTATTGCTTGAACTCATTTCCACCCCTCGTTATGTCACATTTTTTACTTACCATCCTTAGGGTTCACTCCTGACATCCTGCAGAAAAGAAGAAAAGTTTGGTCAATGACCTTCATGAGTTTGTGCACCGACACTTAGGAGACGCTGTGCGCCCAGCTCAGTGCTCACAGTGCTTCATCAGCAGGTTGGCTCTTACTCTGCTGGCACTTGTGCTCACGTCAGGGCTTTGAATAGCACTGCTGTGAACTCTAAAGAAAACGTGGCCATCAGTGAGGCCACTTCTTAGTCTTGATTTGTCTCTAGAAACAACATAAGGAGCTGATTCCCTCTCAGAAATCAAAAGCGATTCCTTGTGTAGATCAGTACAAGAAATGGGCAGTAAATGTTAGACTTTACTAAAGTCAGCTGTGGTCTATCCTCTTCTATTCTGGGTGTGTGATGATAAATGTTGTGATATGTGATGTGATGACAAACCTTTGTTCACAAGTGCAGAAAAGCAAGAGAAAGAGATCCTGAGAACAGACTTGTGAGTGGTATGCTAGGCTGAAGGCGGTGATTCCAGCCCAGCAAGAGGATTACGTGAGACCTGTCTGGGGCCTGGTGCCTTCTGCAGTACACTGTAGTCAACATAGCTTCAAATTATCAGCACAACTGATCTGCAAATGTAGTTTGAGTGATAGCAGCTCTGGGGATGTTGCCGAGCACCCGTGTTGCCAACGCTCAGCAGGCTGTGTATGCAATCAGTGTGATTTGGTAATCTGGAGTCAGCTAACAAGCACAAATTAGTGCTTTACAATGTGCCCTGTTATTAACCTTATCTGTCCATCACCGGATTTGTATACAGAAACGTACTGAGAGTCCTGGGTCTCCAGCAGCTGGCGGTACGTGGCGATCTCCTGCTCCAGGCGGCTCTTGATGTCCATCAGCATTCTGTACTCCTGGTTCTGGCGCTCCATGTCGCATCTGATTTCACTCAGTTGCTCCTCAACACTGGTGATGAGGTTCTGAATTTGTGCCAGCTGCGCGCAGTATCGTCCTTCTGTATCTCGCAGGTTGGCTTCCAGTCCAGCTTTCTAATGCAGGAAGAACAGAACAGGTTGTCGTACGGATTCATCCCGCAGATGGAATCTAAACCAAAGCAAGGGAGGAGGGGGCAGGGGAGGTTTCTGGCTGTGGCTTGCAGTGTGCCGGGCACAGCTCCATACCATGCTCATCTGTGACTGCAGCTCAATCTCCAGGCTCTGCATCGTGCGTCTCAGTTCCGTGATCTCGGATTTGCTGCTCTGTATCTGCTCGGTGTGGGTGGCGACTTCACGGTTCAGCTCATCAGTCTGAAAGAAAAAAGCAACTGCAAAATTAAATGCATAAAAAACACATTTTAAGTTGATCTCTTCCGCTGCAGCAGCAGAGATGAGGCAGCGCATCGGTTCGACGTTTGCTGCCATAGGCTCACCTGAGTGAGGAACCACGCCTCAGCATCCTTACGGTTCTTCTCAGCCAGAGCCTCGTACTGCTCCCTCATCTCCGACAGGATCCTGGTCAGGTCAATGCCAGGAGCAGCGTCCATCTCCACGTTGACTGTTCCGCTGAGCTGGTTGGAGTACTCCTTCATTTCCTGCGTGGGAAATGAGAGTGGGGACACACAGGAGGTTACACGCTGCGCTCTGACACGCTTTCTGCCAGCAGCAGCCCATGCACTGCTGTGTGGTGCTTTAACTATCAGAGATGGGACACACATAACATTTCTCAAATTGCACCTCTCCATGTATGTGCTTCTCTACTCTCTGTATACTCGCACTCTCAGACTTACATGTAGTTTCTATGTGACCTGTCACATGCCCTAGGAATGTCAGACTGAGACTCTGCAGCTCATGGATCTGAACATTTTGGAATCAGATAAATGCTTCTCAGGACCAACTTCAGGTTCTTTTAATATCACGGTTCTCTCCTTATTAATGTTGCCATTCTGATTTTATTAGATAAATGCCAAGGGAAGCAATTTCCTCCCTGCACTGCTAAGGGCGCTCACCTCCTCGT